GTTCCTAATTTGACAGTGTAAGACTAGAGGGAAGGCAGCTAGTCATCACCACCCACCGCCAACTCTTGGGTTGCTATTTTACCAAAGAATAGTGTGATTGACCGCCACATTATAACACCCCCACGGCTGAAAGGGCGAGCATGTTTGGTAGGACCGGAATTCGAACCCGCGACCCGCAGATTGCGAGTCGAACTCCCTAACCACCTGGCCATGCCGGGTCCGACTATAATTAAACGCAATCGAAATGCAAACGCATAGAGATTTTATTAATGAATGCATAATGTCTTTATCAATTGTAAATCAAGTTCATAACAAGAAAAACAAAGTTCAAAACTCGTTTATATCAAAATAGCTTTGAACAGAAGATCAACTTCAGAAAATATTAAAATAAAATCCCGTGAGTTGAAATATTTAAATTTGTGGTTGCTTTGAATTAATCTTTGAAAGACATATTTGGCTATTATAGAATTTAAGGAAGACTACGTTATGATCCTTATATTGCCAGATTAGCTAGAGATTATTTGGATCAACACGGAGATAGTTTTTACTAATGACTTCTACACTGTCATCAAAAATAATCAAAATAGAACGTTATAGAGGAAAATCCTTGTTCAGGCTGCCAAAGTTGAGTAATAATACAACAAAGAAAACGTTGTTTGTTTTTCTTCCTGAAATGTTGCCCAGCAGATGAAACAGCACTATCCCATTGATAAACATCAAACATCTAAAACCTTAATATAAAGGATATACCATAAAACTGAAAAATAATCTGACAAGTGTTTGAAACTAGCATTTTTTAGTTTGCCAAAAACAAGCTTTCAGAGAAAAATGAGATCAAATTGAGACGTTCTACATGTACGGAAAGTGTATGTTGTCTAACCTCTGTCCAGAATCAATGCAATCTACAGAAAGCCCAAAGCACAGAAGGATTTATAATGATATCCCTAATTCGTTCATGACAAAGATAAGAAGTTGGAGATTCACTTAGAAAAAAATGACTCTCAGATAAGAGCGAAAGTAAATTAATGCTAAATTTATAGACCTTCAAGCTTCTCTAACACTGCTATATGATATAAACTATTCAACTTATTGGCGGTGCAACTCTTGTAAAAAAGTACCATCAATATCTGCACACATTCTATTATTTGATGTTATATAACACTGTTATATTACAACATAACATTTATGCAACGTGCACTATAGCAATTTATAACCAAAGCTTTCTAAAAACTAACCAGTTTACAGACTAAACACTTGCTAAGTAAACGATATATATTGTATACCATCATCAATAACCGTCTTTACTTCGGCCAACTAAGTGACATTAATATTAACTTATTGTATCCAAATTTTATGAGCTAACAAAACCAGAAAAAGAAGTTGAATGTCAGATATGTCAATCACTCAAGTCAGTATATTCGCATACAATTTAAATCAAAGCAGCTGTTTGGGTTTGTTTGCGATATTTTTTTCTTCTTTCCTTTTGGTTTATCATTCGATGGTAAACTGATAGATAAAGTATCTCAACTTTCAATTTACGTAAATTTTCCATCAGTTTTGGTGAGCGAATGATACATTTACCAGATCAGATAGTTTCAATTTTGATTCTACATAATAGCATTACAAAATACTGACCATAAGAGATGTAAATTGAAACCTTCTGTGCCTTGATGCTGTCTAAAAGGAACAATATAAAAACAATTGTTCACAAACATTGTTGATCTGGATAAGCTATTAAAAATATTGTGGGCAACTGTAGTTGATATGATCGTAAACACAATAATCTCCTTGTCGAAGACCCGCGTTTGAACTTAATGATTTTATGCTAGTTTTTCAAAATGTTTGATTACTTTCTTTCAACAAGGTTGTATAACTCCTTTTACAAAATATTAGGCTGAACGTGGCAAAGTAAACGGCAGGTACTATTGGCTTGTTGTCTCTCTATGGTTCTAAATTAGAGATGACTATGATTGAAACATTCTCATCTTGAAAATACCAAATTCATAAAATTTCAAATGAAATAGCAGAGCCCAGATAAAACAAACCATGCTTTAAAGCCGATTTTATAGTGTTTTGTAACTTATTATTGTTATTATTTGATAAATTTTAATTTAAACTTTTGTTCAATAGGTTCGTGATATACACTACCCTATCAAAGTTATCTAGGCAATGGAAACTTTGTGAAGACTTTATGTGATTACTCTTGAAAATTATTTCCAAAGCTAGGTCTGTCGACGACGACCGGAAAACGATCCATCCACACCCTGGAAAATAGTTACATAGACATACAACAGACAGTATTATCATATTTATATAGATACACATATATATTAATTTACAGTATTCTTAAATTAATTTGGAAAGTATATTTCCCGTAGTGGCTCTGCTACTTTTTACAGAGACTACGCATTATTTTGGATTTTTATTATCGCTTAAGAGCATCCGTAGTTTCTGTTTTTTTTTCTTATTGTTTTGATTTTTTAACGGTTTCTCGACTGATTTTATAATCCTAGTTGCATTGTAAGATTAGCGTCGTTACAACTGTGACAGGTTTGTATAATGTAATTTTGTCTGTCAACGGGAATTTTATCGAGAAAGTTGCTATTACTGCTGAAACGGAGACAGTTCTGTTGACATCGTAATGACAATAAGTGCTTCAACTCAACCATCAATATTGAATAACACGTCTCGGACTGATGGTGTCATTGTGTTGGTGCTGAATACAGCAGAGTTGCTTGGAGACGTCTAAATGTCACCACTATGTATTAGTTAAAGTGAAACACAAGTACCACTCCAGAACCCAGTTGACCAATCAGAATAAAGAAAAATGTCTCGATAGTGAAACGTTTTCAAATAATACTCGCTGTTTCTCTTCATTTATTTTTAGACAGACAGTTCCAGGCCATTATTGATTCTCTTGGACTTGTATAACAAAGATCTTTGAAAGAGTTGTCAATATCCTGTAAAATTACACTTAAAGTACTATTCAACAATTCTTTTTACAAGAGATTCGATTTTGCGTCGCTTTAATGCCCAAAGCTTCTTCATGTACTAAACTTATTTATAAACAAACCAGGAAAGGCTATCTTATCTGGTTGCAAAGCCTAGCATTTATTGAAAACATTGCTAACAGTTGGTAGAAGCTATTTTGTCTATCTTAATTATTGAACAAATAAATTATGTAAATAATTGTGTGATAATATATTATCCTTTAGCTTGAGGACAATAAACTCATTCGTTTTTTTTTTTTGTTTAGATGTATCACTTAAAAGATAACCAGCAATGGTACTTCATGGAATTTCAAGCCAGTTTAAAAAAACGTCGCTTAAAACTCGTGCCAGCTGATTTTATTTGCTCTTCAATAATTATATCTGTTTATTCTCATTTTGTTCTTCAGACAAACAAGATGTACCCTCGTACTGCAAACATGATTTTATGCTTCAACAGTTTCGTTAGGTTAAGTTATTCTCGTCTCGTTACATTGTAACATATATTTAACTTTTAACAATAATTCTACCAGACAAATATATTTCGATTAGTTATAAATCCGATTTTATTGAAAATAAAACAAAAATCTGGAAATATCACCTTCGGAGAAATTTCATTATCGTGGTGCATTCTCTATTATAAATAGACTGCTCTTCAATCTTTTGGAGCTCAGTTATAAAGTATAAACGTATATCTTGAATAATATGTTCAGTTTAGAAGGTGAAATTATATAGTTCCAAAACAATAGAAACCTCACATAAGCGTCTTTTGGTACAATAAAATAATAAAACGAAAAACAATAGTATATCAGTTCTTAAGTAAAAAATCTGATTTTGGTCGTATTAAAAAAATCAGATATATTAAAGGATCCAGAAACATTCTTATCTGTGAAATGCATCATTTTATAGAAACGTTTGTGCTCTAAGAGACAATACAGATTACTACAATAGCCAAACAAGTGTAACTGGAAAGTAGTCAAAAGATAGAAACAGAAGAATGATGTAACATACTGGAGATGAGACAACAACAACACCTTAAAGATCACGATTGCCCCCCAGTGGCACAGCGGTATGTCTGCGGACTTACAACGCTAGAAACCGGGTTTCGATACCCGTGGTGGGCAGAGCACAGATAGCCCATTGTGTAGCTTTGTGCTTAACAACAAAGAACAACAACAAAATCACGATTAGGGTGAAATTTGTTTGGTTGAAAGGACAATGTAATGTATGTATATTCTTTAAGGAATTTTAATACATTTCTTATTTTTTGTAAAAGTAACTAGCATGATGCTGAAATACTATCAGGTTATAAAGTACCATTTTGTAACTCTTATTTTGAAAAATTTCCAGGCCCGGCGACTCAAAAATCTGAACCAGTAGAAAAGTAAGTAAATTTATAAATATTAAGATTGTGATTTACAGAGAGTCTTAGCAGTAGCAAATGCATCGAAGATTAACAAAATTAGTTTCTAAGTTATTTTTTATACAATATTCTAAGCATTTCTCTCCAACATTATGTTCATCATAAATGTACGTGCTTTATGTCATAAGCAAACGTGTTTTATACCATAAGCCTAGTTTTATATCATCTAAATATTCTTGTACGTGCAATTTTCAGACGCATAGCTACAAAGTGTAGAGCCCCCAGTGGCACAGTGGTATGTATGCGGACTTACAACGCTAGACACCGGGTTTCGATACCCGTGGTGGGCAGAGCACAAATAGCCCATTTTGTTGCTTTGTGTTTAATAACAAACAAACAAACAAAGTGTAGAAAATAAACAATTGTGATCTGGTAGCTTCTACACATTGAAAATACTCTAACAGTAAAATGCGCTGAAATATGGAAACTGTTTTTTTTTTGGTTCCTTTGGTAAAAACCTAATAGAGATATGTGTTTGCTGTAAGCGGATAAATCGTTTTGTGTGAAATACTCCTGAAGTAAAAGTCTGGACACGAGATGGAAAAGTAATACATTATACACTAGTAAGAAGCTCAATATTTTAGATGATAAGCCTAATCACGATATGTCTTAGAGATTCCCAAGTAAACAATTATATTGGTATGTGAGTATACGTTATGCCCACAGACATTGTAATTTATATGTGTGTGTGTGTGTATATGTACATATATATAAACTTCTGTAACTAACCTTTGTTCTAGATGCAAATCCATGTACAGAGTAAAGTGTAATTTATTTTCTCTGTACCTAACGAATGAACTGTGGGCACGTGCGTGATTTTAAATAAAAAACATAGATAGACAGTCTTACAGATCTCTCTATGTGTGTGTATGTAAAAAATGATAACTTAATGTACGCTTACCAAAACGTAAAACTTGAAATTTATTGCAGGGCCTTCCTTTGAAACCTACTGTAGTATTACATTGAATGATTTGTAGGTATATTTGCATAATAATGCTTGTTATGTAATGGAGAATATCTCATTATTTAGAAAGTTAATCAAAAACCAATAATTTCAAACAACGCATAAACATGTCACTTATCTTTCAACAAGTGTAATTTTTCATTACTTGTATACAAATAAAAAAGTATCATTAAGGAAATTCAACATAACTCAGTTTTCACATTACTGCGTAGTGTAGCATGTAAAACATTAGATAAATACGCATATCACTTTTGTACGTACAATATATAAAATCTCTATAGCCACAACATCTAAATAACCTATGTTAACACAGTTATATTTCACACCTTTCACTAAACCTCACTATGACGGAATGAATTCTTGGACTGGGTGTTGTTCTTAGTGGTTATATATGCATTTCTCACATGTTTTATTTTGTTTTTAATATTTAATTAGATAAAATAAAAACAGCTTTCTCTAGTTGTTTCAATTGCATTAGGAGATCAAAAACTGCATTTTGAACAAATATAATCAATATAAGTTTAAATATAAGTGATACGTTCAAATTAAAGTTTTTTAATTTATCTGTGAGGGAGTGAGTTTATACAGAACCAAGTTTCTTATTTTTAAATATTAGCAAAACTTATTTTAAAAATGTAGCTTTTGATAGATTTTGTTCTTTTCAACGTTTAATAGTTCTACTGTATGAATGTTATATTTGTATCGCAGAACAGAGAAGTACGATTCACCGCCAGTACTGAAGACGACACCGTCCGAAGAGAAATGCCCTGATGTTATCCCTGGTATAAATCGTTACATCAATGTGTTTGAATATTAGAAAATAATTTAATAACTTGATATTATTAGGCATAACAATTTACATATAAAACATATCCGAAATATAACTTTATGGATTACATTTAACTTCATTTGGACTTATACAACGAAGACAAAAAAGATAACACTTCAAATCATATCATTGGCCCTCCTCACCCGATAGTAAGATACGTTTCAAATTTCCTATCTTCCAATAATCAAAACATTTTCAATGCTTAATTTTGCAAAAATAGCTAAGCTGAATTGTACCCCTGTTGCAATAAAATCACCGTACGGTGCAACTACCCGTAGGATATAGAAAAATTACAACCCAGTTCTTCATAAGTAAGTTATATAGATAAGCGATTTTATTATTTGTAAATCGTTATGACCTTGTTTGTTTCAGCGTAATGCTACACAATGGTCTATATGCGCTTTATACGCTATGGAGATCGAATTCCAAACTTTAGCGTAATAAGCCACGAAGTTTATTGTAAAGTGACCGAGGGACATGTGATGATTTTATGTTAAAAGTCAGTTTGTGTGTGTTGGTACCAAATCACTGTATCTAAGTCCTGTGTTTTTGTAAAACTAACTAATTTTTACTTCAATCCCACGTACTTTACTCACAGTATGTAGTATTTCTGTCATTGTTGAGTCACTTTACTGGATTTCATCCATATTGCATTAGTAAGTTAACCGTTATTGATTTTTATTGTAGAATTTAATTTTTGATCACCAAACGCTATGAAATGGTTCACAAATAAATCATAAACCTTTCTTGTAAAATATAGTTTTGAATTCTATCTCAAGATCGATCAAAGGTCTAATACACTTGCTGGGAGGATTTTAAATCTCAAAGGAAATAACTAGAGAATAAAACTATATACGATGACTCCGGGCTCAGCTACAAAAAGTAATGCATCAAACTAATATAACAACAACAAAGATTTAGTGAAGCTCTCAACGTGTCTACACAAATATCGCATTGTTAACTAGATTTACAGGCAAATAAATAAATAGGTTTATTTACATAGTTAATTATTGATCTGCATGCTTGTAACGAGAGTGGTTAATTTAGTTAAATGTAAAATCTGACACATTGTCAAATTCCAGGTAATAGCGTCAAAATGAAGGCAGCAATTACACCAGCTTATGAAGATTTCGAAATTGAGAAATATAAAATTCCGAAGTCACCCAAAAGTTCTCAATCGATGTGTAAGCCTACCAAACGTGTAAGTAAAATAAACGTACAATGTGTAAACCTACCAAACGTGTAAGTAAAATAAACGTACAAATAGAGTAAGACGAATGAATAAGAAACAAATACAACTGCACTATGATCATATAAGAAAATACAAGTAAATATTGTAATTCGTTCAAACAAAAATGTTCTAGATTAATGATCGTATTAGAAATACAGCTGCACTATGATCATATAAGAAAATACAAGTAAATATTGTAATTCGTTCAAACAAAAATGTTCTAGATTAATGATCGTATTAGATTGTATTAAACAGAAGCACTAGCTTAAAAATCATAAAGCCATTAAAATGGCGTTAACGCTGCCCCTTTTTAGGGCAGATTGATTTTCATGAACCATTAAGTTGTTAGATATGAATTGATTCATTAAAATCTTAAAACTATTGGTTTAAATTTATTTAATTATTTAATTTATTTTCTTATTAAAGTTATATTTATGAGCCTCTCAAACATGATTATTTCATTGTTTTCTACTGATGGAAAACATATTAAGTCTTACAAGAAGTAAACATAAATGAAATTTTTCTAAGAATAAAAAACAATTATTTCAAAAACACTCATGTCATACTTTTTACAACTGTTTAAAGATCGTAGTCTTAAACTATACTGACGTCTGTGTTTGGTTTGGTTTGAATTTCGCGCAAAGCTACACGAGGGTTATCTGCGTTAGCCGTCCCTAATTTAGCAGTGAAAGGTATCCAACTCTTTGTTGGAATAGTGGGATTGATCGTCACGTTATAATGCACCCACGGCTGAAAGGGAGTGCATGTTTGGTAGGACGTGGATTCGAACCGCAACCCTCAGATTGCGAGTCTGGAAAAAAAAACAACTATTGTTGTTGTTTGTTATTAAGTAAAGCTACACAAAGAGCTATCTGTACTCTGCCCACCACGGGTATCGAAACCCTGTTTCTAGCAGTATAAGTCCGCTGGCCAATTCGTACGTTATAATTCAGTGCAATCTTAGCATATCTTTGGTGGGCTATAATTGATACATAATTAGGATATTTTAACTGTCTTCTACTATGTGAATATACTTCGATTATTTAAGGAGTGTTAATTGGCTTCTATTTAACTCAACTACGGAATTACAGTTGAAATATTCTAATTAATTGTTATCAGCATTCTAAGATATTGTTTATCTAACTTTTAGTAGATGAAAACACTAAAACCATTTAGGGGATTTCCGTTTTCATCTTGTACAGATAATTAATTATACGTGTCGCTCTAAATGTATTTCATATGGTTAGTGATAGGAAAATGGAACAAGAAAAGTGTTTTTCAACCGAATGAACAGTTGGCTGCAATTATGTATCTTTTAAGAGCAGCATTATTCATTTAATGTAGTAATTGAGTCGGTATCATTAACAAAGCACCATTAAGGTTTAATACGTTATAATTAAACGATTTTGGAAGCTTACCACGTCGTTACAGTCAATGTCGCCACTTTCAGGCATGTTCTTTTTGACAAACGTGCATATAGATTATAGTATTGCAGCGCAGTTTCTATTTCAAAAGCCTCTGTCGCAAGACTATCATCAAAGGCACAGACACACACCACTTCTACCTGCAAGCTTTCCATAAGGCATGTAATGTACGAGGATAGCGATTCTCTAGTGCTTGTTTGAACAGTCTGATAGCACAGAAATTCATAAACGCTGCACCCTGCGACTTATGGTATAGCATTAATGATTGTTTCGTTTTCCAGCTGTTTGAAATGTGTGATAGTTGAACAAGTATGTTGTGGGTGGAAAGAACGTGTCTACACGTGACTTGTGTCGCTGTTTCCGACGGAGATCCTTATTGGTTATGCTGCTACTGTTGCTTGGGGCACAATGATGGCTTTTGTTACTGACTTCTGTGTTTGTGGATTCTCACCTGTTACAAAACGCCCTACTTTGCTTACCACTTGTTGCAGGTAATTTTTCTGGATGGTCCTGATGCCCCACGTTTATACATATTCCTTTGTTTTATAATGTCATTAAGTACAAAGGATATCCATATCTTGGAAATTCTAGACCTCCGATTTGAACACATCTTTATAATCTGAATGTATAAATATTTTCAGTCAGACAGGACTGTCACATACCCAACCAAAAAGTGATCAGTTTTTGGTGGCATCACATCACCTACGAAACGACAATGTCAAAACGTAGTTACATGTCATTCCCTCGCGACTATAGTTGTCACGTGACTTGCTGGGTGTCATATTAAAAATTGTTTTAATATAACGTACTCTACCCACTATATTACAAAGTGTTGAACACTCAAATTGAAATTAGTTAGAAATAGCGACAGACTGAATTAACTTCTCTATGGTTGGTAAAATGAAATAACCAGTAACGAGTATACACACATTTTCCTTCCCACAGGAACTGACAAACTCTTTACATCTGCAGGATATATTTATGAATAGCCGACTGACGTCATTATGGGGGATATTCTTCTATTCCTCATTTAGGGTAATACCACTCTATGGGGTCGTGTCGCGTGTTAAAGCTATGATGTACACGGTGTCCAAGGGGGTTCCATAGTTGTTCTGGTGAACTTGGATCAAATATTTTTATTGGTCAGTTCATGATCTCTATGATTTTTTTTTCATGTTAGTATAACAATCCTGACAATATGATATCGGGCAATGGGTCTAGGTCTGGTGTGGTTTTGGTCTTATCGTAAACTTCGGTAACAAGTCAATATACCTTCGAACAGCCAGTTCATCCTGTGGGCACAAACTAGGATCTGTATGTATACGGTCATACTAATTGCTACCAACACTATAACTTAACAATCCATGTGATTGTCATTCAGTACATTACACTGAGTAAGTCGTTAATCAGACACGATCTGTCGATCAGTTAATGAAATGCTTAAACCTTAAAACGTTTGAGAAGAGCATGGGGACTCATTCTTCTTTTTGTTATTTCTGATCGTTTCATCAAGTGTCTAAACGAACTGTATTGAGCTGTGCAGTAAACTGCAAGTTTAAAGCAGTTCTTCCGAATTTTGAGTCGTTGTCAGAAGGTTATTCTATGACGTTTAGTGAGCGATGAGTATTCCACTTGATTTATTGTATTCCATATTAAGTCAGTCGCCATTGAAACCACAATTCCTACTGATTATGCTTTCTAGAGAATAATCATTACATGACATAGTTGTTATGCTACGACCAGTTGTTTTATAGTATATTCACAACATTCTAACTCAGGACATTAGTATTTGATTGTCTAATGTCCACTAATTACATTTCTCTCCCAAGTTGTACTTTTATTAAACACCTTTGCTTTCCACTAGTAACATTGCCACACATACGTACGAATATAAATAAATTAGATGATATGATCACAAAAACAGCAAATGACCAAATCTGGAGACGAAATGATGGTACTTTCTTTTCAGGAAGGTGGTATTTGCAAATGCTTCGACATAAAATTTCTCTCTCAATTCTCAAAATGAGAAATATGAAACTTTGACGAACTAACATATAGCTTCAGATGTAAATTTTCAGGCAGCACTAAGGCTTTTCCTCTATATTTTTGGATATAGCGTACTAAGCCAGAATAAAAGATATCAGTTTGGTTTACAGCAAATCACTATGCTTACAGAACTTAAAAAAAACTTACTTTTTTGCAAATGAAAAAAACTCAACATTTCGGCTGGCTTCTATCAATGTATTAAGACTGATAAGATTTTTTTAACTGTCTTCCAATACGTGATTGCAGACATTTTGTTTAAAGCATTTGTTTAAGTTTATAACTTAACATATCACAATTCATATCATTTGGCTAGATTAATATTTGATTCTGCTCATCGAAATTAAAGGAAAACAATCGTCTATTAGAAAGTGTTTTCACTTATTTCAGAAGAAGGTTTCAGATCCTATCGGCCCTGTCTGTTCTAGCCACAACAGTACATACAAACAAATAATCAAGAACAGTTTCATTGTCCATCTTGCACGTTGGGTCACAAACCCAACTAATTCATTTTGTTATTCACTAAAGCCCGATGTACCAATCAGAAGACCGAGATTAACAACAGCTAGAGAGGTGTGACAGTCATAAAGTAATGAATCATCCAGGTATGCAATGGTGTATATTTAATGTAAATAAATATTGGAACATTAGATAAATAGAGTAGATCACAATTTAATTTGTCGACCAACGTTCGATCTTGAAGTTTACCTACAAAAACATTAATACTGAGTATAATCATGCTTTACGATCCTTCACAGTTCGCTACTTATTACAGTACAATGCATGAACTGGATTTTGTCTCTGATGCTTAAACTAAATGGAACGTTTTCTTCACCGAGGAATTAGGGCTTCTTAATCAAAGTATAAGCTCAGTTTGTATCTTGAGTCTTTGTCACTGTCATCTTAAAGTGGCCAGCCCTACTTACATCAGTTGTCCTCCTGAAGATGATCTTCTGCTTGCCTTTTTCTTATCTAGAGGCTTTAGTAAGTTTCTGAAAATAAAAACAGAATAGGACAATTTGGTAGGGACAACCATTTACTGTAGTTGTCAACAACCATTTACTGTAGTTGTCATCAAAGCTATTTCGTAATTTTACTTTGAAAATGTGCTTTCGCTATTAGAAATGATTTTGATGGAAAGAAAACTGCTGAAATTTAAGCAACTGATATAAAATGACAGCCTCATTTGAAAAAAGTTCGGAATATTATTTTAATCTTAAAAATAGGCGAATTACTTATAATTCCTTGTCTTTGCGACTATTGAAATTGAAACAAAAATATATGTTTCCTTGTGTGTTCAATAGAGACCAATTCAGGTTTATTACGAATTGGCTCACATAAAAATGTATTTTTAAGGTTAAGATCTGATGCAACATATTGTTCTATAAATAGTGTTATGTGCTGATTTGAGAATGTTTTTATCAGGTATGATATTGCTTCAAATTCTAGGATCAAAAAGGATAGCTACATACAAACTGTTGAATTGCAAGTCTTCATCTAGGGGGTTTTAATACTCCATATTAACTATATATTTGGAATTTTTTCTCAGTTTTCTGCAATACACAAAGCTACATACATATAAGTAAATTCCTCGTTACAGTAAAAAACTAAAAGTAAAATTTGTAACGCTACAACTTGTTAAACAATTATTTCTATTTTAGAGAGCTTCCAATATTGTGTTGGAAGTAAGAAAAGTAGATTATTAGTTATTAATGCATCAAATAATATATAAATTCAATGGAATCACTGATTACTTCTCTAAGAGTTTAAAACAAACAATAGTATATTATTGAGCGTATTAGAAACTTATGAGGGTAGCTGTCATTTATAAGTGGAAAGACACGATTTTTAATAGAAATGATGCCATTTGATTCGATTCGATCATAGTTTAATCTAACAAAATCAAGATGTACTCGAAACTCATATTCAGTTTCTATAGAAAGCCATTCAGTAATTAGTAATAAACACTTGGAAGATTGACTACAGCAAAATATGGTAACAAAGACTAGAGAGAACATCGGAGTATATCCTAATTAAGACTAGAGAAAACATCGACATATGTCCTAATTAAGACTAGAGAAAACATCGACGTATATCCTAATTAAGACTAGAGAAAACATCGGAGTATATCCTAAGTAAGACTAGAGAGAACATCGGAGTATATCCTAAGTAAGACGAGAGAAAACATCGACGTATATCCTAAGTAAGACGAGAGAAAACATCGACGTATATACTAATTAAGACGAGAGAAAAAATCGACTTATATCGATTGCCCCAGCCTGCCACTAGCAGCAAAATAGTTCCGGTGTAGTACAGTATATTTCTTTCTGTGTACTTTAGTTCGACATGCACCAAATTCAGAGCTATTTCGTGCTAGTTTGTAGAGTGGTATTCAGCCAGACACTTTCTGCGTTGATATATTATTATATTTTTATTGCTTTGGTTCCTTGAAGTGCAACTATGGAAAAGAGCATTTTTAAAATTGAATTGTTCCAGAATTCGTTCACATAGAAAGTGCAAAAAGAAAAATTTAAATAGTTCTTTCTCAAACTTTGTTTTCCGTTATTTACTGGAATATGATGTTTAAACATAAGCGTGAGCTGGAATTTAATATTCGCAGACTTATATACGTTGATGAATGTTACTTTGAGAAGTAAGAATACAGACTATCTGTTACATATCCTACTGAAAAGAGTATTTTCATGCAACCGCAAAGGGGTAGATTTTATTCACCCCGTTTAAACCAAGAATATTGCTATATCCTAGGAATTTCAAGTATGTCTTTAAATAATTAAATTTCTAAAGAAACTGACAACGTTCCACAACAGTGTCTTTTTTTTTTTCTCGACCTATCAAAGTCAAGTCTCCCCTAAATATTTTCACCCAGCTTGAGTGTTGCTTAAAAATGTTGGTCCTTTTCATTTTAACGAATTTATTAATGTCATAATTCTATAATCGCTTCATAAAAACTGAAATTTCATACATTCAATAACACTTCGTTTTTACCGAACGTTTGAATATGGATTTCGTTATGAGCATCTGGTAATCGCGTGGTCAACAATACTTTGATACAGCTGTTTTTTTTAGCTGTTCTACTGAAAACGTATACAAATGTTAGTAAATTCATTCAGAATGAAAAGGCTTACAGCTAATTGAAGAGAGCGAGAGAGAGAGCTGTTCCTGTGCAATTTGTTTTATAAATGGTATCTTTATGGTGACTAATTATAGCATACGTTTGTTTGTTGCTAGGGTGTGCCTTTCAAGGGCATTGAAATCCGTTTTTAGTGTTATAAAGTCTTTTTTTCGTTCATTTACAGAATTGCTAATAAAAGGTAAATGTTATATTGTTTGAGAAATATTGAAAAAAATAATTTCTATGTTATTAACATCAAAGCTACACAATAAGTTACCTGTGCTCTGCCTACCACGGGTATTGAATACCGAATTTTAGCATTATAAATCTCCAGACTTACTGTTGAGTCACGGGGATTATTTTAAAAAAGCTTATATACTGTCAAAATGCTGGGTTATGAACTTTTGAGTGCTTATTTGGGAATATTTTCAGTGTTTACATTTAATTATCATATTCATCATATTTTGAGAATAATAGTTATTGTTTTATTTTAAAATAGATATCATTCACCTCAGATATATACATTATCGTTTGGTAACATTTGATGTTGGCTTGGCACGAGGTGGTCATTAGAGCATTCGACTCGCAATCTGCAAATCCTATCACCGAACACGCTCTTTCCTGTAGCCATGAGAGCATTATAATGTTTTAGCCAAACTTATTATTCGTTGGTAAAGAGTAGCCCAAGAGTTGGCGGTGGATGGTGTTGGCTAACTATCTTCCCTATAGTCTATCACTTTAAGATTAGAAACGACTAGAGCATGTATCCTTAACTAGCTTTGTACGAAATTCAACAAATAAACATGTGTTTGATGTTTAAAATTTTATTTTAGATGGTATTCTAAACTTCTCTTTTATGTAACTTTCATTAACTTAATCATTTGTAACTTGCATTTAATCCTCTATAAATATATATTATTGCTAGGTTTGTTAACGTTTTGAATGCGAAAGGTCAAGTATAGAGCATTTTCAATTTAACATAAGCTTTATGATATATATTATGTTCTATAATCTTTAATTTCCTATTTCTAACATTCATAGGAGACAAATTCACCCACTTCTAATCCGACGTTCAACAAACCAAAACAGGAATCTTATCCTCAACCTCTGCAAGAATTTTCTCATACAAGTGGTCAGAAACGGGTAAAGGTATTACCAACTCCTCCGCCAGGGCGGCGTCATGAAGAACCGATTCATGAGGATACTAACGTGTGACTACACCACTGTTATATAAAAGAAGACTTTTTAACGTGTCTGTTCGAAATAAAAGGAAGGAAATGAATTAACTTTTTCAGTTAATGATATGTTGTTGTTTAGTTGCCTCCACAAAATAAGTGCTTGATGTCAAAATCGTATTCCTGTACGGAGTTGTTAAATAATTTTAATGTATTCATGAGCTTTATATTCTATTATTTATTACTAAAAACAAGAGAAGTGCCCAAAGAGTCTGAGAAAAGTGACTTAAACGCTCTACCTCAGTTTTCAGAAGTTGTTATGGCACCATCTAGTTTAACTGTGATCTCCCAGTTAATGTTGTACCGTCATGCTTACTTTGCTTTGCGTTTCAGGTCTTTCAAAACATTCCTGGTATGAATTTGTTTGCAGAAACGATTGCGGGTGATAAACGGAAATTAAGTTCGCAAAGGCAGTAGGTGTTTGTTTTCAATTGTTTCTTAATATTATCATTTCTAATGTTAATGTGCCGAATTATAATGATGTATGGGACTTCAAATTGATCAACACCCAAAAGGTATTATTTAACGTATTTATTAAACATCAGGAGATGAATATGATTTTAAAGACAAACAAAATAAAGAATTGCTTTGCTTGTATCTATTATTCTTGTATTATTTTCCATCATCAGCTAAAGCTAACGAGAAAGTATTTTTATGAATTTGATCAAGTTCAATTTCAAGATAAAAATACATATTTAGACAATGCGGACTTTCAGCGATGTTTATTTGATTTTTAAGAAATGTTTTTTTTTCCTTTCTAAACAGTAAAATTACTGACACATCGCACAAAATCAGTGTAATGGTGTAAGTCTACATCTCAATCCTCTATAGTAATTAGGTGAAATATCTCATTACATCAATGTTGACTGTTTACCTTCCAGAAAAAAATACGAACACTTTCCATATTAATATTTAATCACAGCCTCTCTCTCATTCTGTCAGTTAGGTTACCAGTTAAGATCTCAATTTTGAATAAAAGTATACGTTTACGTATATTTGAATATCTTAATAGAAAATAGTTTATATATCTTGTGAAATTAAAGGCAAACCAACAGTGCGGCCATACTATAATTTGCCTTATACTAAGGAACCATGTTTTACACATTCCGGGATACCATCGTATATTAGACTTTGAAAAGGCCTCATTCAAAAGGGCAGTTTTAAACAATGTGGACGGCGTTTGAAACTTAGTGACTTATTGCGGTATAAAACAAAAAATGAGATAAAAGAGAGCGATAAACCTTTACGTTATGTTCTTCATAAAGACGACCATATGCGCACAAAGACCGGACTATATGTTCTTCATAAATACGACTATATGCGCACAAAGACCGGACTATATATGTTCTTCATAAAGACGACTATATGTGCACAAAGACTAGACTATATGTTCTTCATAAAGACGACTATATGCGCACAAAGACCGGACTATATATGTTCTTCATAAAGACGACCATATGCGCACAAAGACCGGACTATATGTTCTTCATAAAGACGACTATATGTGCACAAAGACTAGACTATATGTTCTTCATAAAGACGACTATATGCGCACAAAGACCGGACTATATATGTTCTTCATAAAGACGACTATATGCGCACAAAGACCGGACTATATGTTCTTCATAAAGACACTATATGCGCA